TATATATATATACATTTTTTTTAATCATCATGTTCAAAATTGTTTAATTTAGTTCAGTATCAGTATCATTATAACTTTGCAAATTTAAATACAAATATTGGATTGTTAAAAAATACTAAATTATTGATGAGGTGAAATTGTAATTACAATTTGACTCGTTATTTTCTGTTTATACCTGATAATCTTCAAATTCACTATTGTTTTATTGTAATCAGTTATCTTCATAAAATAAAAGAAATATAGTAAAACTTCTAATCTCAAATTCCTCTTAAGTCTAATTGGATTATAGTCAAACCTTGATTTTTGAGCATAATTCATTTCTAAAAGTTCTAAAACCAAAACAAATTTTCCTATAAGAAACAATATAAAGTGGATTAATTCATTTTATCTCCAAAATCTGTTAAATATAATGTTGAAAATATAAACACAAATTCTTGGATGTCATTTATATTACCTGAATGTCAATCAATATGGTTTCTATTAATTTGATTTAAATTCAACTGTATCATGTACTGAAAAACAATAGTAGTAGTAGTAATAGTAGTTTTCCTGCAGGCACATTGAAATCTAATTATTAAATAGCAACATCATTGATGATTCATGTTGTGATGTCTAATGGTGCAAGGCAATCTTGGCTCCTCTAACTTCTAAATCAGTAGTCCTGCTATTAATTGTTCAGGCTGTTGACTTCCTTTAACATAGGAAGTATAGGGAGTTGACCAGATTAGCTTGTTTGGCAACAGAGTTATTGTACTGTATAACAATTTGAAATTAGTTCAAAATTTGTTCATGAACTAATTTGTTCAAAAGTGAGCCATTCAAAACCCAAGGTTTGACTGTACTGGTTCTGCAAACCCTGCATATAATATAAATATGCATTTTTATACTCTGAAAGTCAAACAAAATTTTATACATCTCATTATTGTCACTCCTTAAGTTAAACTCAGTTAGTTCAGACTAACTTATTAAGTTCTGTGCATTGCCTGGTAAAGTGGCTTTACTAGACATGTCCTTTGACCATGAGCAGTTACCAGTTTAGTGAAAATCAACCAGATCTAATGGGGAATATTGATTTGATATCATTATTGTATTGTCCGAAATTATTTTGTTTATGCAAAATAAAAAAAATAAATAAATAAAATTATATTTATTTTTACATTTATTAATATATTTTGGAAGTTAGTTTTAATATGAAATTATAATGACTAGTGCCATCTAGTTTCAAAAACACGCAACATTTGCATTTCCAACTTCCCAATGAGCAATGCATGCACAAATCTCACACTAGTGCCTGTTTGTAGAAAGAGTGTTGCTATTTTGTATTNTTACATTTATTAATATATTTTGGAAGTTAGTTTTAATATAAAAATTATAACAACTAGCGACATCTAGTTACAAAAACGTTCTGATGCTGGAACAAGATATCTCCGGTCAAGGTCAGCAGGTTGTGACACAAGAGAAGTTAAAATTGTTGCATGTACACTGATTTAGCTGAACATTAGAACATCTTTAAGGCATGAAGCTCAGTGTTTTTCTGTGCTGATGTTTATTTTTCCCATTTATTATCATGGTGAGATTGTTTCATCCAAAACTTCCTGTAGTTGTAGTCTGTGTGCACTTTATTCACATGTTTAGAGGAAGCAGATTTGACAGTAAGACTTTTCTTATCCACAATTTTCAAAACTTTCCTTTACTTTTTCAGTCTGGTTTCATCAGTTTTATAAGATCACATAAAAGCAATTATTCTTGCATTTTTTACAGGATCTTTTTTTATTTAAACATGTCTTATACCAAGTCTTTCGGATGTTAAGGTTAATAACTTAGTAGCCCTTTTCAACTATTAATAGTAGATGTTGATGCTGATCATCCTTGCTTCTGGGAGTAGGTCATTGACTACTTTTGTTCGAATTAACTTCAACCCCCTTCCACTATAGTCCCTTCTTCCTATCAGACCCCAGTGGTATGGAGGCATTTGAATATGAAAACTGAATAATATGAGATTACCAGGCAGCACAAAATATATTTTAAGTGGTTTTCCAGGAAGCTGAGTTTAAATATTTGCTCTATTTTTTTCATGAAATTTGATATTTGGCTGTGAATGAAACAGACTGTTACAGCTAACATTAGAAAAAAAATATCGTATTTTCAATTGCTAAGATATCTTAAATCCTTGTCTACTTGACCAATGAAATTGTGACCTCTGTTTATGATGATCTTAACATAAATATGAAGCTATTACTCAATTTATAGCTGTAATAGGATAAATTAGCATAAACTTAAAATTCTGATTTAAATGTAAGATAAAACTTTCAATTAACATATTGCAATGATTTCAATGACAATATTTTATGTTTCATACAAAAATTATCCATATACTTTATATATCCTTTAACTTTTAATATAATCTGTTAAACTTATTTAAGTAAAAATTATTATCTATATGATTTTATTTTAATTGCAGGTCCTTTAACCCTTTTTTTCCTTTATTAACTTGCTTTGAAACGTATGAAGTTCAGTTATGGGCAGTCTGGGCCATTCACCATGTCTGCTCTAAAAATCGTAAGTTTCCATAACTTTATTTATGCTTAAATTTATGGGAAATATAATTATTGCTATTAATTCTCTAGCAAAACGTTACTGCCCAATGTTAATAGAAGAACAAGGAACAGTAATATTAGAAAATGTCCAAAAAAATCCAGCCACTCACAAAGCTGTTGTTTCAATTTGTCAAAACATACTTCAAGTAGTAGAATTAGAAGGTCATCATATGGGATCCTCAAATGATCTCTGATTTTAAAAAAAAAGTTTCATTAGAGTACTAGTTTTTATCAAAACTTTGGTTTTGTACAGTTTTTGTTTCATAAGCTTTCTAATATCTGTACAATAACTTCTTATCCAGAAAAGTTGAGTCATTTTATCACTCCCCAAAGAAGAATTTCCAGTTTAGTAATATATTTTAGTTAGATTACCACAGAAGTGAATGGACTCTCAAATTCACAACATTGATTCTTTTGTAATATTTTGTTGAAAATGTGTTTATTGTACAGTTAACGTATCATAGTGGCTTACCATGCTAAAATAAGTTAACGAATACTTAATGAGAGAAATACATTCTTCAAATTTAGAGGGCATGTTTGCTTTGATTTTAATGAAAATCTTTGTTTGAATATTTTTATGCAAATTATATTAATCAAAAAAAAATTTTTTTTTTGCCTTTTGTTGTTATGTTTGTTAACATAGTTATATGACCATTTTTTGGACATTGTAATAATGAAATAATAACTATGAAATTGAAATACGTTTGGTACTTAAAAATACAAATAAATATATTTAAATATCTGTGATTTGCCCAAAAAAAAAGTAAAAAAAGAAAATTAGTTGTATATTTGCATGTATTATCAAAAATATCTATATACATACATATATATTATATATAAAATATATATTTATGCAATCATTATTTATGAAAACTAATTTGCTACATGCAAATTTCTCCAACTATTTTTATTTAAATGTATAATAAATCTCAGATTTCTGACATGTCTAATTAAAGTTGTGCACAAAAATTCAATTGTTTGGATGTATAGACCTTCAAAATAAATTATGATTGTTGATCATTTGTGTTTAGTGTGAATCTTTCATGAAAATGTAGAAGTTTTGCATTAATTACAGTTAGTGTACAAACATACTATTTGTATGCTTTCAAAATGGTAACCACATTGAACAGTATCCTCCTGCATTGGTAAGGTCTTTGTATAGAATGAATATCTTTTCATAATGCTGCTTGCAGTGCCATAGTGGCTAGTTTTAATACTACTCTAAAACCTTGGCTATAAGCTGCCCTTGTATATAAGCCACAAAAGTGAAATTTGTAAAGGAATGTTAGCTTATATATGAGAGTGGCTTATCCACAACAAAGTTGTGATCTGTAAGCAAGGTATTGTAAGTATGACTCCAGAATAAATACCAATAGGAAAGGAACAGCATCAGGAATAACATTATGTAAATCTCACTGTGTACTAGAGTTAAATGTATACCATTTTTCTTTTATACTGTAGTTAGTTTTTATCAGTTAGTGGGTTTTTCATGTATTAGTCACTCTTGTGCATAGGCACATAAAACAAATTTTATAAATATAACCTTGTATGGCCTGTAGCCTATAGCCAAGGTTTTAGGGCACTTTTTTTACAGAAATGCCTTCCCTGTATCTCGAAATACCACCATACCAAATTTGGTTGTATTTGGATTTTAAATTTCTCTGTAGATAGCTTTGAATAAAAATTAAAAGCTGTGTCTTCCTTGAATGAATCTCTGTACATAAGGCAGATTCTATGGCATGTAATTATTATATTAGTGGCTGAGACTGTTACCCTGCTTAATGTTCTCAATGAGTTTTAAGTAAATAATACTACAGTTAGTGAAAATTCTTTTCTGCTGATTATATTATTATTAAAAGCACATGTTAAAATAATTTAAAAATCTATAACATGAAACATTATTTAGTTTGACTTCAATTTAAGAAAGTGTCATGCTTCTGAAAACATCTCATAAATATGGACTAGTTTTACCATTATTTCTTATGTTTAAACAAGGTTCTAATTTCAATAACTTTAATGTTATCTAGGAAACGGGTAAAAGTGCTAATATAAAATATATAATAAATAACATCAAGAACATTTAAATTTTCTATTAAGCATTGTTGAAATTAAGAAAATTACTAAATATTTGAATTAGAATAAACAATGTAACAATTGATTCCATCTAAAAATTGTTTGAAATTGGCAAAAAGACAAGAAGTTTTATATAAAAGATAGAAATTACAGCTAGTTTCAGAAGACTTCAAGCAAATGTAAGTAATTTTAAACATTTTAATCCTCTAATTATGGTCTTTCTCATCCAATAAAATGTATTTGCAGAGACAAAATGTCTGCAGATGTGTAAGCTTAAAATATTCAACTTTGATTAGGGATAATAAAATCATTATAAATTAAATGGATTTTCTATTTTAAAATATTAATAAATTAATTTTTTAACATTACACTTAATACTTGTATTTATATTTTTACAATTATACTATGTCTTGAATTATCATTAATTTTATTAAATATCTTTGCACATAACATATTTTAGCATTTTTTGACATTAAAGGTGTTGATACTTTCAGTGCATTTTACATTTATATAATCCTAAATATAATATTAATTTATAAATTTTTACCTTTAGCAACTATTATATTAACAGAAGGAAAGTACAGCAATTGGTCAAAAAATGACCCCCCTCCAAGACTACATTTTGGAACTTGGGACCTTGAAACATCAAGAAATGCAAAAAAAATTTTGTTTTTTTTCTTTAGGTATGTATGTAGTATGTGTGCACAGGACATGATTTTGTTCACCCCTTTGAAACTTAATATAACTCCTGTGCTTTTTGTTGAAATTTTCTGAACTTTGTGTATTAGGGAATTGATGCTATTAAATTTTGTTGGTTAAAAGTCAAGGGGATAGGAAGATAAAGAGGTCTCAAGTAAGGTCTGACTCATTTACAGATTTTTATAAAACCCATCTTTACCCTCAAAATTAAGATTTTTGCCATTTTATAATAATTAAAAATATAAAAAGTTTTTAATAAATAAAATATCGTAACAGATGGCACCACCAAATGTTGCCAGGAAAGTTATGCAACCCTGCTGGATTTTTAATTCTTTATCATTAAAAAAAAAATGCTGTTTCAGTAGCATCATAGGAAGAATTTCTATTAGTCTATACCATGGCTTCTTAAACTTTTTCTATTTGTGATCCCCTTTTACCCAAGAAAATTTTTATGCGACTTCTGGTATATAGATATATAAAATAAATCGTCAAGGATTTGTTTCCTTGGTTGCCTTGTTGATTTTGCTTGCTGACAGTATGGCTGACCAAGTGTAGCTGTCTGTAGGCAAGAAGTATTTTGGTACAATGCAACTTATGAAAGGGAATGCACAATATTTACAGGATCCAAAATTTCACCCAAACATACACAAAATTATAGCAAAGTATACAAGCATACAACAATATCAATTGTTATTTTTAAATTTTAAAACTTCTGTATTAATTATGCAGTATTATAAGTTTGAAAGAAAATCTAATAATCTTAATGTTGATAAAAATTTTTAACATTAAAACTATTTCTCACAATTTACACTTTCAATTTGTGGGCAGGTGTTAATGAACTGATGATAAATATTAATTCAAATGGTAATATTTAAATATTACCATTTGAATTAATATTTATTATCATTTTAATAATTTTGAATGCATACCAAAACAATTTCTGAAATTTTTCTCCCCAGTTTATTAATTTAAAGTTTGGAAAATTTATTAAAAATTTATATTTTTGTACATGGATTATACAGAATTTTTTAATAGTAATTTTAATGGCTCTTTTCTTTTTTTCAAAGCTATGAAGTTTACAGTTATGAACTAATAACAGGATAAATTATTTTTATTTAATAAAACATTTTAGTTTTAAAAAATGCCATAATTTTTTTTTAACTCATCAATTATAAAAAATATATAACTGTTAATTAGAAAAAATAACCAGTTAAAAAGTTGGAGAAGCAATAGTGTTTGTGTGTAGTAAGTCAATGATGTTTTATTTTGTTAATGGGCATCTTCAATGTTTTTCAGAGTTGACCAACGTTTTGATTTTATAATTGTAAATGAATAGTATGAAATTTTACTGTTGTTAAAATTTTCATGAACCCCAAGAAGCTGTGGTCTATCAATACCATAACTCTAATATCATGGTTTTTCTTGGAACAAGTCAGATATCGATAATGAAATACAAGTGGTTATTATTATTTATGCTGGCAATATAATAACATCATTTTTCATCCAGATTAGGCTTATATGATTTAATGTGTGGCCTAGGATAGATCCTGGAATAACACCTCTATTAAAGAAAGTGTAAGCAAAATATGTATATACAGTGGAACCCCGGTTAACGAACGTCCTGGTTAACGACCAAATCGGTTAACGAACGGTATTTTGTGTCAAACTTTAGTTGGTGTTAGGCATGCGCCAGTTAAGCATTGCTTTTCCGAGTGTTTGTACTTCTTTTTTCAGTTTTGTGATTTATATATTTAATCAATATGGCATCAAAGAAAGAAAAAAGTCATAGCGGCAATAGAAAACGACAACGCGCTATCGCATTTGAGAACGATTTTGCTTAAAAGAGTAAGACAATCAACTTTAGATCAATTTCTTGTTCCGTAAGGAACAAGAAATTGATCTAAAGTTGATTGTCTTACTCTTTTAAGCAAAATTGATCTAAAGTTGATTGTCTTACTCTTTTAAGCAAAATCGTTCTCAAATGCGATAGCGCGTTGTCGTTTTCTAAGTTTATTTGTTTGTTAAGTTATGGCAATGCAACACTTAGGCGATCTGCCTAGGGGAATGACTTCTGGGAGGTGTTTTTAAGGGAAACTGGCCCCTATTTAGGCGTTACAGACGTGGAGAAAACCCAGAAAACTCCACATGGCCAGTCCGTTTGAACGAGGTGCAAACCCACGAACGAACTCCCCCGTGTTCAAGGTACGAAGACCACTTAGCTACTAGTGGGTTTTTTTTTTACCGAAAGAGACTTCGACTCGAAGAATCTTCCAATGAAGTGCTACCCGTTATTTTTTGGAGGGGATTTCCCTTCTAAGCATTAATTTAAGGTTCGTACATCTCCACTTTTCTGCCACCAACTACAACAAACGAAGGTATGCACAGTACTATTTTATTAAACAAAGTTTACATGTTTGTTGCTGTAACGATAGATACTACGTTTTCTTACATTTTTATCAAAGAAAATTACTGTATATTACAAATAAAATCACAAAAATTTCGAAGACTAGAACGAATTAATTGCATTTGCATTAATTTCTATGGGAAAAATTGCTTCGGTTAACGAACGGAGTCACAGAATTTATTAAGTTCGTTAACCGGGGTTCCACTGTACTATAACAATAAATAATGAGCAATTATTTATTGTGACATCGTCACAATGCCAGGCTGCAATTTTTAATCATATATTTTAAGTTAAATTAAAAATACTCTCGCCACCTCAAATTAGTAGTGGCTTGCCCCTGCACATCATACTTTTCCTTTAACAATGGAGTCATGCTGGTATCTATCTAACACCTTTCAGGAGAAAATTTTTTAATTGAAATAACATAACATCTGATGCAAACTGGAAAGTTCATATATAGTTAATTAGGATCTCCTGCTTCTAAGCTTTCCATATCTGCTATTGATTTTCATCTAACTCCTTTCTCGAGATTAAAGGACAGATGGACGACAATGGGAATTTATAGGTTACAATTTTTTCAAATTACAGCCCAACAAATACATTGTTAGGCATGAGTACTAATTGTAATTTCATAAAAAATCTAAAGCAGCACAAATAAAAATTAAACAGAACACCCCAGTACAAATGAAGAGTAATCAATTGACATCACTTTTTTACTTGATACAAACATCTAGGACGAGGGGCTGGGAATTCCCCCCCCGAGTCCCAAGAAAACTAACAGGAAGCATTATGGACCCCAAAATTAATGTTTTATTTAATTGAGAGAAAATAAAATCTTCAAGGCTGCTCTTTTTTAATAATGAAATATTTTACATATTAATACCTAAAGCAAATGCGATAAAAAGGGGCTCGTTCTACATTTTTTTTAAGTCCCTTTTTATTGAATAAGCAATAAATCTGAATTGACAATTTATTGCAATAATCAAGGGGCACAATTACTTGCTCAAAATCCAATGTTTCACTCGTAAAGCAAGCACATAGACATAAGACATCATTTTGTGCGTGAATGCGTTGAACGAGGAAGAATAGACATCACATTTATTCCAACTATGGACTATGACAAAAGTCTTAGTCCATTAGTCCAATTTAAATATGAAGTCAATCTTATAAGTCATGCCTCAAGATCGCATTTATTATTACACCTTGGTCCATAATCTAATAAGTACCCACTGGAATGAGGGGAAGTGTTGGTGAGAGTATCATGACACTCTCCTAGGGACATTCCAGGTGACATCTAGACTTTTGTTTACATAAGAAGATTCTTGTACTTTGTACCTTTACATAAGAAGATTCTTGTACTTTGTACCTTATTTCCTTTTGTTTTTTGGTATGTGTACTCTACAGCATACCAGCTGTTGCAACCAAGCAGTTCCCTTTTTACTTTACTCCATTGCCACATCCTGCATTTATTACAATAGGTTTATATCATTTTTTAAGCATTAGGGTATGCAGGACATATCCTTAGAAACATTGAAAAATAGGTAAGGTCATGGAAGGTAGTTCGGATCTAATCTCTAAAATATTGGGCTAAGAACAAAAATTATAACAGAGCAATAGAATGGTGTATGTGTAACTGCTACATAAACCAACTTGAATAAAAATATTTACAATGAAAATAATGAACAT